CTTCTCCATGTTTGCGTTCTCGTTGCTAATCGAACGGTCGAACGGAATCTCAGCCGTCTTCATCGCCAACGAATGCGTCACGTCGACACTGTTCGAGTCGCGATGGCATGCGGCGATCGGGTCGGGCTTGGCCGAGTTGGTCGCGTCTGCTTTCGGCTCCAAGCACGCAGGACCCACGCTCGGACGAGCGCTGTCGATGGAGAAGAAGCGCGAGCGCCGGCGCACCGTCCGAGCAAGTGTCGAGAACATCGCGGGCAAGTGCAATTTCAGAAATGAGTGTCTTTTCCCAATTTGCACTTGCAGGACGATGGGATTTGACCACAAACGAGTAGTATTATTCAAAAGAGCAGATTCTCGGTGGTGTGTTTGTCGCTTTCGATCTGACGTATTACAAAGTTGGCCAGGAAGTCGCAACGGCAACTTCGTTGTACGGAAAGACATCGCCTGACACAGACGTGGGAAAAGTGACCAATCGGAGAGCGCCGTGTATTAGCCAATGGCATCGGTTGGTGTGGCTGTGACGTTCGTGGCGTATGACCTGGCTTCGACCCGCTTGACGCTGTGCCACCGCGACGGCGAGGACTCGGTGCTGCTGACGCGGACGCTGGCCGACCTCCAGCACATCGACCGGACGCTGCACCGCGTGCTCAAAGGATCTACCCATGAGCGCCTCCCGATGCGCCGCCTGAAGAAGCTCCTGGCAACGTCCTGGTCGCTCGACGACGTCGCCGTTGGCAAGAAGCCCGAGCTCGCAAAAGTGCTCTCAGTTTGCAACAAGTGGCTTGGCACTCTTCTGATGCAGCTACCTACGGACGAGGCCATTGCGTTCTTGGATGATGCTGCGTACGCCGAGCGCTCGGCAGCCACGGCGGCGCGGCTGCTAGCCCAAAAGACCGCGAAAGACCACGGGCAGTTCTTCTCGTCCGCATCGTCGATCGCCCAAGTCATGGCAGGCCTCGAAGCGCTGTATACACCCACCGAGCTCTCGGAGAGCGTCTTCTTGGAGCCATCGTGCGGCGACGGCCGCTTCTTCTCTTCCATGCTGCGGGTCGGCGCCAAGGACATTCGGGCGTTCGAGATCGACCCGCTCGTGGCGGCCACTGCCTCGGAGCAAGCAGCGTCGCTGGGTCTTGGCGACGTTGTATCGGTACGTGACTTTTTGACGTCGACGAGTCATCTTCCAGCGTCGACCCGCGTCCTTGCCGTGGGCAACCCGCCGTTCTCGGTCAAAGACACGGACACGGACGACGATCTCGTGCTGGCGTTTCTGCGGCACTGCGCGCTCGAGTGGCATTCCGCAGCGATGGCGTTCATCTTGCCCGAGCGCTGCCACAAGCCTGCGTACATTGCGCGCGTGCTCGACGTGCTCTCGACCGTGGCGCCATATCAGCTCGCGCACGCCAAGCCTTTGCCCGATAGCGCGTTTGACTTTGTCGGCGCCAAGCAGATTCACAAGCCCAGCGTCATTCACATCTACACTCGCTCGTCGTCTCCACCGTCGACGGAGTGATGGCGTCATGCCGGATCCCATCCTCGGACCGAGCGACCTGCCACCTACATGGGCTCGTCTCAATAAGCACGTTAATTTAGTGCTTGTAGCTTGGTGGCAGGCTGCGTCGCAGGGCCTCGAACATGTCGTGGCCGAGCCCTTGCTGCTGGAAGCGCTCCATCGTGACGGCAAAGTGCGTAATGGCAATGTCTCTTGGCGGAAACGAGAGATGGCGGAGGCCCGCGGCGGCGGCGCCGACTTGCATCTGACACGCGTTGGTTGTGTAGAACATGTAGTGGAAGGCCTCGGCCACGGCCCGCCCGGCGGTGATCGTCCCAAACGCATGCGACAGCACAACCCTGTGCACGGTGCTGATCGGGCAGCGCATGGCGTCGGCGTCCGTCCATCGAATGGCGCCGCCCTGGAGCGCAAAGCAGCTTGCTTGGCAGATGGGCAAGAGACCGCTGTTCATGGCTGCAACGGCAGCGCAAGGTACCGTCTGCGCTTGGAAGAAGCACTGGAGCTCGGGCGACGCGGCGTGCGTCAGATGCAAATGCACGTGGAGCGCAATGGCCTGTACGTGGTCGCTGCTCTTCAGGCCGCGCACGTCCAACTCGCCGTCGGGCAAGCGCAAGACGTCGATGCGGACGAGATCGCTCGCCTTGACGTCGGCGAGGAGCATCCCGGGCGGGTTGATCAAGAAGGCGACGGCCGATGTGGTCGCTGCCGGCAGCCGAAGCGAGAGGAATTGACCATGGAGCAGAAAGTTGGCCCACGCGTGCGAGGCAAAGAGGCGGCAGGACGCAGCGAGGTCGTCGCGCAGCCCTGCCTCGGCCTTGGCGGCTGGGATGCCAAACATGCTGACGTCAGCTGCCTGATCCAAGCCAATCCAACGGGCGGGAAATTAAATTCGGCAGTCGATTTAGTTTCGGCATGTTCGTCGAGCTTCATCCGGACGCCACGTCACCACATTGCAGCATCACATTGCACATGCGGTGGGCCGTCACGACGTATGCGCAGGACCGTCGACTGTCCATTAGCGCATACCGCAGACGTTTGCTGACGGGCGCCGGAACACAAGGAAGCTCGCAGCGGTTGCTCGGCGACCGAACGTTCAGCGTTCAGTCCAATAGGTGCATGTAATGTGGCATGTGCCACGTCAAAATCCCGAGATGTGAGGGAGTTGCCCATAATCGGTTGCGGTGGCATTTTGCAGCATGCCCCAGTGGAGCGACCCGTTCGTGGCGGCCAACGTCGTCGTCGCCGTCGTCGTTGTCTACTGCAGCGTCATGAGCCCATGGAAGTACACGCGCGTGTCTGGCCCGTACGTCTGCGAAGCGCCATGCACCTCGGCTAAGCGCATGTAGATGCTCGTCCAACTGGCTCGACGTCCGCGACCCTGATAGCAAGGCCGTGTGCTGCAACGACTCGAGCACCGCGCCATGCTACGTCGGCATGACCGAGCTGCACGAGCTCACGCATGGGCAGGTACGATGCATCGCTATCGTCGGCCATACAGCACGCGCCGTCCTGCACTAGGGTGCATGGATCCTCCCGCTCGTCGCAGCCCTCGTCAACTTTGGCTTGACCATGTTCCTGCCCAACGTCACGTCGCGCCACATGTCGGCCATCTACAACCGCTTGGGGTTGTACTTTGCGCTCATGATCTACCGCACGATTGTTCTCTATGGCGCCCTGAACCTCGTCGAGAAGGCGCTCTTCCCGCCCGCGACTTCGTGCTGGTACGCGCCGCTGCGCCGCAACAAGCGCTGCATCGACAGCTTTGACCACGCGGACCACATTGTGCTCTACATGACGCACTTTATCGCGACGTCGTGCTTTGAGTGGAAGGTGCTGCAGCGCGACCGCGTCGTGAGCGTGTTCAAGCGACACGTGCTCTCGCTCTGGCTGCTCTTTGTGCTCGGACTCTCGGTGTACGCCATCTTTCACACCGCGTACTCGTTCCATAGGTACGACGACATGTATGCTTGGCCTACGCTATGTCTTCCGTCGTAGCTGCTGGGAAAACATTGTCGGCATGCTCATCGCCCAAATATGTGTCATGCTGCCCCTCTACCTCCTCTCGGAAGACTACTTTGGCGCCCTGCGCTTTGGCGCCTTCCTCACCAAAGACCGTCTCTTGACCAAGTAGCTCGAGGACGTCGCAGCTGTCTTCTTGCGCCGGCGGTCCCGTCATACGTCCTAAGACGAGGATGTTAAATGTCATCATCTTCGTCTCTTCCTCCTTGTGCTGTAGTGCGACATCGAGGTCGGGACCACCGATGGGCTCGGTGAGCGAGCTTGTAGGCTGGTACCGACTCGCGCTTGTGGGGGGTCGTGTCACATGGTTGTCACTGCGAGATTGCCGTTCGTTTGGCAAGTGCTTTTGAAATTGCACTTTCTAAAAATGAAAAAATAAAATAAAAAATAAATTCAGGCGGCCACAGAGACACAACCCAACGACCCGACTCGCAACGAACGAGCGCAATAGGATGGTCGGCGACTGGAGCGGCTTTGTCTTCAAGCAGGGCTCGCTCATCAAGTCCTGGAAGAAGCGGTTCCTTGTCGTGCAGGGCCGCCACGTCAGCTACTATGACCGCAGCGTGCACGAGCCCGACCCGCGCGAGAAAGGCAGCCTCGTGCTTGGCGACGTGACGCAGAACTTTGGCATGCGTCACGGCCTCGTGCTGCACGACGTCAAGGGCCGACAGATGAAGATGTATACGCTCAGCGCCGTCGACTTTGACGCGTGCTTGGCGGCGCTCCAGGCCGCGTGCGACCTGCGTGGCTCCATGGCACGACCGTCGCTCCTGGATGTGCGGGCGTCGATCGCGTCGTCTCGCGCCTCTCTCGCCGACGCGCGCGGATCGCTCGTGCTGCGAAGTTCGTTGACAGAGACCGAGCGTCGGCTCTCGGTCGCCGACAGCGCGATTCTCACGTCCGAGCGGCGGTCGTCGGTGTCGTCGACGACGTCGGTACCGAACATTCAACGTGGCTGGCTCTACAAGGAAGGCCAGCGCGTGCGCAACTGGAAGCGCCGGTACTTTGTCTTGACGGGCGACCACATTGCGTACTTTGCCAAGCAGGGCGAGAACCCCAAGGGCGAAGGCCGCGTCGTTAGCGTCATACTCGACCTGCACAAGCCGCTCGGAATGCTGCTGCAGCTCGACGCCAACGACCGCGTCTTGAGGGTTGCTGCGGAAACCAACGACGCCCTCGCACGCTGGCACGCGGCCTTTACTGGCTGCGTGCGCACGCTGCCCAAGCCGCGCCATTGCGGGATCCTGCTCAAGAAAGGCCGGACGGTCAAGGCGTGGCGGAAGCGCTACTTTAGCATTGACGGCGTGAGCAACCAGCTCTCGTACAGCGACGCCGAGACCGAGCCGCCAAAGGGATATGGCAAGGTCGTCGATGTATGCGTCAACACCAAGCGGCCCTTTGCGTTGTACATTCACTTGGCGAGCGGCCGGCGGCTCGCTGTGGCCGGGAACACCCAAAACGAAGCCGACGCGTGGCAAGCGGTGCTCGAAGACATTGCTGCCGATGTGCCCATGCAGTATCTCGACGGCAGCCACCACGGCTGGCTGCAAAAAGAAGGCAGCGGCGTCAAGTCGTGGAAGCGGCGCTTCTTCACCCTCCACGGACGCACCATTCTGTACCGCAAGTCGCTCGACGCTGCGCCGCTGGGTGACGGCGTCGTGACGTCCGTGGCGCCTGGGACAGCGCGCGCCTTTGCAATCGACATTGTCTTGGCCTCCGGACGGGTCCTTGTCGTCGCTGCCAACTCGGCCCGCGATCAAGAGCTGTGGCTCTCGGCGCTACGCGACCCGTTGCCACCACCGACATTGGCGACCAAAGGCTATGTGCTCTTGCTCGACGGCGTGGCGTGGACTCGCATGTTTGCAGTTCTCGAAGGCCATCAGCTTGGCGTGTATAGCTCGGACCAGCTGACGGGCGACGTGATCCAAGGGGACGTTGTGCACGTCGGTGATGACGCGTCCTGGAGCGCCGAGGTGACGCTGTCATCCGGCCGGCAAATGGTCTTGGCCGCGGACGGTGACGCGACGTTTGACGCGTGGCGCAATGCCCTGCGCGCTGCGATGACGGGTGCAGACAAAGCGGTCTCGAGCGCGTCCTGGTCGACGCTGGACGCCGACGAGGATGATGCCAGCTCGTCGGACGGCGAAGACACGCCGGTCTTGAGCCTCAGCGACTCGACCGACATCTTCAACACGAACGACTTGGCGCTCTTGGACACGAGCACTACTGACATACACGACCTCCTCGACGCCCGCAGCCGCTCGGACGACGACGATGACGACTTTGTGACGCCTGTCGACGGAAGCGATGATCGACGCGCGGTGCAGCGACAGGGCAGCGTCGAGTCGACGTACTCGGAGTTTGAAGACAGCGACTGAAGTGATCGGACCGTGTTTGTTGTCGTAGTAGTAGTAGTAGTAGTAAAAGTAATATGAAATAGTACCGCCCGAGGTGCCATCCGCTGCGGCAAGACACGCCATCGACTTAGCAGCAGCCACCACCGGCGTTGGCATTGGCCGAGTACTTGTCGGCCGAGAGGTTGACCTTCTTGGCGCGGCTGCGCGGCGCCGTGTTGGCAAGCAGCGCCGGGTTGTCGAGGATCTGCACCGAATCGTCAAGACGCTGGAGGACGGAGTTGGCATACCTTTTGAACGACTTCGTTAAAGACTTGCTGGATGCCAATCTTGGTCTTGGCGCTGCTCTCGACAAAGAGCATGCCCTTGGAGCGAGCCCACGCCTCGCCTTCCTGACGCGACACGACGCGCTCCTACACGAGATTTGGATCGAACCAGTCGGCAAGACGACGAATCTACCTTGTCGATCTTGTTGCCGACGAGAAGCTTGACCACGTCGCGGCCGTTGGATGGGCTGTACACCTCGACCTCTTGCAGCCACGTGCCGAGGTTCTCGAAGGTTTCCTTGCGGGCCACGTCATAGACTGCAACGTCGTAGTGCATGAGAGCGAGACCGCGCAAAACGCAGTGGGCGTACCCAAGATGACGCCCTGCGCGCCGCGGTAGTACGAGCTCGTGAGCGTGCGGAAGCGCTCTTGGCCCGCCGTGTCCCAGATCGTCATCTTGATGCGCTTCCCGTCCACCTGCATCATCTTGACCTTGAAGTCGACGCCTACGCAAGGCGTCAATGCATGCACTGCGCTGGTGGCATGTGCGTGTACCGATCGTGCTCTGTAGATGGTCGTCGAACGTGTCTTCGGTAAAGCGCAAGAGCATGCTACGTCGGCCATGAGGTCGTGGCGTCGTTAGTAGGTTGGTCGACCTGCTCTTGCCGACGCCAGCGTCGCCCACAAGCAGCAGCTTGAAGAGGTGGTCATACGAGTCGACTTCCTGCGCGTCCATGGTTCTCTAGCGTCGGCCATGAGGCTTCGATCGCCGGCCCGCGGCCCACGTACCCGCAGTCGGCAGCTCTGAACACTTTGTTCGTCCGTCCCATGACGCATCGGACCGTACCGTACGCAATGTACGACCTGTACGAGCCGTTATCCGGCTGACGTCGGATCGTTGCCCAGCTCGCTACTCGATGCCTAAGGACTCGGCCATGCCAGCGCCATGTCCTATGCCCTTGGTCCTGCCTTGCTGGTGCGTAGGCTGCTGCTGCTTGATACAAGCTGAACGGCGTCTCTCTGAGTCTTCAAGGACAGATTCTAGTAGTGGGCTCACTGTCTGGCACATAGAGATCTCTGGCTCTGCCCATTGTAAGAGGCTCAACGCTGGGGCCATTCGGTCACCATCACCCATCCTTGCTATTCTCTCTCATCAGCCTCGTCGGGCTTCGCACGCTGGCCCATGACCAGTCCAGCGTCATGAGGTGCTACCGCTCTTGAGGTTGAGACGACGTATCACAATGCTGTACACGCAGCGTGCATGGACTGCTTACTTGCCGACCGACATGGCGCCGGCGGTAGCCGACGGCGTCAACCTCCCGACAGCCCGCTGCTGTTGACTTCTGCAAGAGGTCGACGTCCATCATCGGATATTTGCTGGAAGCGTACATTGCCCCGTACATGGCCTTTCTGCACCGGATACTATCCGGATATTATCGCTGTCACAAGCCAAAGATCGCGCGGACCATGGGACCCGACCGTCCAAGCCCGCTGTGATTGAGGACTGCTGGCGTTGCCGCTGCGTATGACTGTGGCGCTATCGTCCTTGGCGTCGCCGTCGGCGAGTGCTCTTGCTGCACGGTCGGTTATCTCGACTCCAAAACGCTCGTGTCAACGGCCCAAAGGTGGTTTTTCGACCTCAGCCCAATGCTCACGTGCCCGATCTGCCTCGAGCCTGGTACAGCCGCGTGGACGTCGCCGTGCGGCCACGCCTACTGCTACGCGTGCATTGCCGAGTGGGTCCGGCGGCGCCAGCCCTCGTGCCCGATCTGCCGCGCCCGCCTGCCACCGTCGGCGCTGTCGCCACCCGCCGTGCGCTCGCACCGCTTCCCGCCTTTCTTTGCCTTGACATGGGTCAACCCCATGGTCGTGCGCCAGCCAGCATTCGCCGCACTCCATGTCGTGCTGGCGTGCGTGGCCATGGTCTTCTTCCACACGCTGCGCCCGGCGACTGCCGTGACAACGCTCGTTCTCGACGGGCTGCTGCTCACAACGAGCTTGAGCACGATGGGCCAGATCCTCGTGTACCTTGTGTGCAATGTCTCGCACGAGTGGAGCGCGCTCCAGCACAAGCTCGAGCGACGGCAGTCGGCCGCCGTCGCGCCACTGCCGCGTGCCCGCTCGCGTTTGTAGGGTTAGGTGAACGAGGAATACATGTCCTGTAGCGTGCAAGAGACGTATCTAGTTGTCTACGGCATGACCGTCGCTACCTCGGCCTCGGCACGCTCTTCGACGAGGCGGACCTTGAGGTACGCGAGCGCTTTCGTGCTCGTCTTGGCGTAGCTCTCCTTGACAAAGCCCTCGACGGTCGAGCGGAGGAAGCCAAACTTGTTGCTCATTTGCACCGAGCCCGTCTGCATGACCGAGGACCTACGAGACTCGCTGCCATCGCTGCATCCCAAAGGCTATCTCGGGGTACCAGGCGTCGTTCTCGGGGTGCGTGGCGTAGACGGCAAAGCTGCGGACGAGCGCGAGGTCGGCAAAGCTCTCATTGAAGCCTCGCACGTAGAGCACCTGTCGCAATTAGCATGAGCGTATACTGTAGGATCGTCCAAGCCGCAGTAAACTACATTGTTGGCCTTGTCCCAGAGCGACTCTTCGACGAAGAAGATGAACTCGTCGCCAGCAAAGCGCTTGATGAAGCCTGGCGCCGTGTTCCTAGACAGCGTTGGCGTTTCCCGAGATTTGAGCTAGACAGTAGGACGTACTTGAGCTTGAGTTTGCGCTGCTTGTACACGCAGTTCCACTTGGTGAACTCAAAGTCGACCGTGACGTCAATGCCCACAAGCGCCGGCTCGAACGGATCTATCCACAAAACCAATCTAGTAGCCAACAACTAGCTCAATATATACCTGGGAAGGGCTCCTTGAAGCGGCGGAAGTGCATGTCCGCAGCCTACTTGCCTGCGTGAGGCGCCAGCGGCATGGAAGAGACGCCACCACCTTCTCAAAGGGATGTTCGATCGGCGAGTCGTACGGCGGGAACGGGGTCGACGCCGCTTCCGGCACAAACGTCATCACAGGGTGCTCTTCGGTGGCGGTGCCCACCTTGCCCATCGAGAGATTGAATTTTTTGACCATGGCGAGGTGTGGGCACGTCTCGACGGGGGTGGCTGGACGACGGCCAGCGACGCGTGGCACCGTGACGTACAAGACCGAGAGGAGCTGGACTACCTAGCATACACGACGACAGTAGGACCTCCTCTGCGACATCGACTGCTAGCATACGTGGGTCTGGAGGAGCGTGCCAAAAGCAAGACCGACGCCCGTCCAGCTACCGCCGAGTCGCAGCCAGTAGGATCGATGCCACGCGGCGCAGAGCACGCTGTCACCGACGGCGCAGGTCGCATTGATGTGCTGCGCGAGCACGACGACGAAATGGGTCGCAAACATGGCCGCGCCAACGTACATGAGCAGGTGCAGGAAGATCGTTTGCTGCGCCTGCGCCGGCAACGGCGTCCAGCGCTTCAACTGCAGCCCGCGCGACGTCGTTTCCTGCACGTGGCGTCAAGCATGATATCGACGGGAGCTTGAGAATGCACCTGCGCGCTGCTGTCGGCCGGCGGTAGGATGGACGCGACGAGGCGCGTGTACTCTTGCTTGGCCGCCTCGGACGCCATGCCCGCGCGCGCCGTCCACGCATCCCTAGCAGAAGCCATGAGCTTGTGCGGACATGAAGCCAGCGTCGTACCATTTCGCTTTGCCCGTGTTGTTGATGGGACAGCCTACGCCGTGATACGTGAGGTCGTCAGGCTACCGCGTCATCGGCATGTACGTGGGCGGTCGGTGTCGTTGTCGCCTTTCGTGGCTTGCTGTAGCAGCCCGTAGAGCGCCATCGCATGCTGGTGCACGACGGCCTCATGGCGCTTGGAGGCTTCGGCCTGCGTCATGCGCAGGACAGCTGCATTGAAGGCCGTGTCTACCTCGGCGTCCGACATCGATCGACCGCAAGCCAAACGCAATGCGGTTGGCAAAGCATCCGGTTGCAGCTCAACCAGGTTAAACGTTAAACCTGTTTACCCTCCGTCCAGGTTGCACGCATTTTGGCTGTCGTCGTGACGATCTACTGCAGCTCTGTGCATTCCTATCACCCCACGCTTCGATCGACAAGGCTCAAGGCGCTTTCGTATCGCGTCATGGCGACGCATCGCCGCCAGCACGACATTTAACGCAGTTCTTGGTCTTTTAACCCAGTCTTTAACCTATTTGTGCATTGGGCGTTAACACGTGGCATCCCATATGAGATCAGATCCTGTGTTCGCGAAAGGACGCGGCCGATGGACTCGACGCGGACGCTGTCGTTCCTGCAGCTCGCCGACGCCGATGGCAACAACGCAGTGACATCCAAGGAGATCCGCGCGTTGCACTTGCACCGGCAGCTCTCGTCGGCTGACCACGCGCTCCAGTTGGCAACGTCCTTGCCCAAGAAGCTGTCGCCGGCGGTCTTTGCGTCGATCACCGAGGTGCAGCCTCGGCACGCGCCATGGCTCAAGAAGGCACTGGCGCGCATGGAAGCGAGCCAAGCCTTCTGGAAGGAGCGCGAGCCGACGCCGAAAGGCACACGGCGCAAGACGGTACCCAAGCCCAGCTTGCCCGCACCGCCGCCCTGCGCCACAATCTGGGACGCCGCGTCCACCGGCAACGTCTCGGAGCTCCGGCGCCTTCTCGAAGTCGAGAAACGGGACGTGTTTCGGCACCATGAAGCCGACGGCGGGCGTACGATCCTCCATTATGCGTGCTGGCACGGCCACGTCAACATTGTCATGTACGTGACTATGTTTGTGCAAGCGACGAAAGGCCTCGAGGCGCTGCGGCTCTTTGTCAACTGCATCGACTCGGCGTACAGCCGCTGCACGCCGCTGTTGGAAGCCTGCCGGTCGTGCCAGGTGCCACCATATTTTCGTCGCATTTCGTCGATGACGGTGCGTCGATAGGGCCACCTCAACGACAAGCTCAAGATCATCAAGCTCCTCGTCTTGTACGGCGCGACGCTCGAGCACCAAGACGCGCACGGCGACAACGCGCTGCACTGGAGCGCGCGCGTCTCGAGCTTGCCCATCGTCCGGTACCTCGTCAAGGAGACGGACGCAGCCGTCTTTGCCGTCATCACCGACAACTACAAGCACGAAAAGGTGGATATCTACGAAACTAGATATCCACAGAGCCTTGCTGGTAGCCGCTGGATGTCGCCAAGCGCATGCTCGAGCGCAAGCCGTCGATGCAAGCCTCCGAGGTGTACGACTTGCTTCGCCACGTCTACCGCGAATGCAACATTCGGCTCAAGATCCAATATGGCAAGAAGATTCGGCTGCACCAAGAAGCCGAGCGCAAGACCAAGCGCAACGACGAGGTCGTCCACGCGCTCGACATTGCGCGCGTGTGCGCCACTCGGTACTCGAACCCGCGCCAATGACCGTCGCATACGCAGATGCTAGGGCGGACGGGTTCTGGCGCTCCTGCCACGAAGCTGCCGAGAGCACGCGCAATGCGCTCGAAGCGAAGCTACTTGACGAGGCAGGCAAAGAAGCGGTCGGGCGCGCGCAGCTGTGGCTCGACACCAAAGATGGCAAAGCGTGGGCCAAGAAAGAGCTGCCATCGGCCCTCGACGACCTCAAAAACCTGATCCAAGATGGCACGCTGCCCAAGCCGCGCGACATGAAGAAGGTCGCGGCCGTCCGCCTCGGCGAAGCGTACATAGCGGTCCAAGAGACCGACGCGCGCGAGCAAATGCGCAAGAAGTTTATGCGCGAACACCCGCTGCTCGAGTCGCGGGACGTCGAGTACTACAAGCGACTCGTGCTCGCCGCGCCGCACTAGTACTGCCATGGCTCTTTGGCTCGAGCGTTCATGCAGAGTGGCATTGATGCCCGGGCGTTGAAATATCCTGGAAATCAAGACTGTGACGGGACTTGAACCGGCGGACGCAACCAACGAGAGGACAGCGTAGTGGTGGGCTACTTCTTGCAAGATGTTGACGCGCTGCGTGCGCCGAACGCAGGTGGTTCAGCGTTATCACGACGCAGCTATTACCGTTGCTCCGAGTTAGTCTCGAGAGCAGATCGTCCATAGCTCTGCTTGACTCGAGAGTAGATTCTAACATCTGTTATACACGTCTGTTCAGAGTGAGGCGTATCTTATGCGAAACGCCTGTCCATGGAGCTGGCGTGCGCGCTCGAGATACCGCCGAACGCGTCGCTCGTCTCGACCCAAGCGGTGGCGCCCGGTGCGTACACGTTCGAGTGCATCGTGCGGCCGCCGCTCGCCCCGTTGAGCCTCGTCTGGCTCTTCCACCACGCTACCAGCGGTCTTGGCGTCCTTCCGACGGGCCATGCCGTGCTCCTCTGCAGCGAGCGCACGTGGGCGACAATAGCGCCGTGCGCAACCGAGAACGTTGTGCAGCATTGGGTCTCGACCTTTGATGCGGCGGCGTCTGGACCTGCCTTGTTCTGCAATGGCGTCGTCCAGCCGCTCACGCCCACGACGCTCCGAGAGGGCATAAGTGACGCTGTTCTGCGGGATGGCCGCATTCGTCTCGCGTGGTCTCTGCCGCGAGCGCGATCGCCGATGGTGCTTGGTGAAGTGCGGCTCTGGTCAACCACGACGCTCGCCCTCGACGTCCTGCAGCAGTACGATTTCGATTCTTTCGCAAAGGGAATACTATGGAGGATGCTAGATGGCGCCACCGCGAAGTGTCGCCCGACCACCCGAACTTGGCCCAGCTCGGCGCCTACTGGCGTCTCAACGACGGCAGCATGCGCAATGTGCAGCTGGACTTGAGCGGGCACGGACGCGACTTGGTGCTACTCGGGTTTGACCCGATACTGCGCTACGTGTCGCTGCACCCACTGCAGCTCTACGACCACCCGCATCTCGAGCTTACGCTGCAGAATGCGCCCGTCGACGACACTTCGGACGTTGACACATTCGTGGTGCAGGTATCACCGCACCGCGATAGCAGTAGCCGCCGCCTCGTGGCGCACGTAGCTGTGGTCCTCGATGCGACAGCCACGTGCGCGCACGATGCAACACGTTATATAACGGCGCTGACGACGGTACGCTGGCAGAATATATCAAAGTTGGTTGGACGTGGCACTGACTTATGGTCTAGTTTATCGGAGCGCTGCCCGCGCACACTGACTTGTGTCTTCTCACAACACGCCGCCCGACACCAACGCTGCTTGCGTGGCGGCGCATGGACCCGCTTGGCCAAGTACGCATCTGTTTCTCCGCTTTGTACAGTGGTATCGAGGAATATGAATGCTGAACTAGCGAGAAGCCATCAAGCACGTGATCGATGTGCTCCAAAAGCCTGCGGCCAGTGCGCCACTGCCTTTGGCGCCGGTCGTCGATGCGGCGCTGCATTTGCTCGTGGACACATACGAAGTAAACGTGCGACATTTGATGGAAAATGCACCGAGATGTAGGACCACCCGAGTGCACTGAGCTTTGGTGCGCTTCTCGTCTTTTCCCAGCGCCCGGTCGAAGCCGCGGACGAGCTCTACGACGTCTACCGTCCGCTGCAGAGCTGGTGCATGCTGCACTTTTTGAGCCTTGCACCACCAGCTACGATGACACCTCTGCCTCGCCAGCACGCGCTGCAGTTTGTTGTGTACGCGGCCGCCAGCACCGACTTGGAGTTCATCTTGGCCGACGTGGTCCACCGCGTGACGCATGTGCTTGCCAAGGTCTGTCATCATGACATACTCCCATCATTGGTCATGTTGCCGGCATAGAACGTCACACTGACCGTCGCAACGACCGGCGCTGTCCAGGTGGCACTCGATCCCAAGCACGACACGACGGTTGCCAGACATACGGTCGCCGTCGACGGACACGTTATGCAGTGGGATATCGGGCTCTTCTGTGCATCGGACGTGCTGCTACTCGGTGGCCAATGGCAGTGGAGCGGCCGCCACGCCGACGAGTCATTCCACGTGCGCATCGTGAGCGTGCAAGCCGGCGCGCTGCTCCTCTCTCGGTCGTCGCTCGCATTGTACATACTATGACGCACGCAGAACGTAGTGACTTATTGCTTGGCATAGACCACCGTACCATGCGCTGCAGCGATGTCTCCGCGACGAGCCGTCCAGCAAGCTCGTTGGCCGCGTGCGTGCCGAAGCCGCGCAGGCCGCGCGCCTCTACGAGCAACGACGCACGTACTTGGCCCATCGAAACATCACGGACGTGGTCGAGATGCAGAAGAGCTTTGAGAAACTGCGGGCGCTAAAGGAGACCGAGCAGGCGACCTTGCATGCAATGAGTGACGACGTTGCTACCGTCGAGCAGCGAAAGGACGTGATGCTCGTGGTTCACGAGACATTGTCACTGCTGGCCGCCGCCGTCGCGCCAAAGGCGTCGCCCAAGCGTGCGACTAGCCACCGCCTCGACCTGGAGGCGGGTGGTCGTTCATCCAGCCCCCCCGCTCGTACCCCACTCTCGCCCTCTGCAAAGTTGAGAGTGCTTCGTAGGGGAGAGCACGACGACCGAGGAGCCCAAGACAATCGAGTGGGTCGAATCAATTGCTCTGCTCACCGCCAAGGCCAACGCCGACGAAGCCGACGCCAAGCTCGACGAGAGTCTTCGCAACTTGCGTCAAGTCGAAGATGACTTGAAGCGCCGGCCCGTCTTCATCACCGACGATGAGATCTGCGATGTGCTCGGCCGCTTCGTGACGCGCCTCCACGAAACGCAGATGACGCGCCTCCCCGTGTTTGCCGAGACGCGCACCCATGTGCGCGGTAGCAAGGGCGTCCTCCTCACGCGCATGGCGTCATCAAAGTGGAAGCACGCGACAGACCAAGCCGACGCTATTCGCAGTGCGATCTCCGACCTCCAGATGCAGCTAAGTGCGCGGCGGGCGCTTGACCCCTCGGCTTGGCACGCGCTGCAGCCCGTACGTTCATCTTGGGTACCTGCAATGTCCTATACGTCAATAGGTTCTCGAGGCCGAGCACGTGGCATTCCTCCGGTCCCGCCTTGCGTGGAGCCAGGCGCGGTTTGCCGAGCTCCTCAAAGACCGGCCGGTGCCGAACGCGCTGATCCCGTTTGCGACGCTGCTTGTTGCGCCGTGCGAGTCGCGAGGCGTCCGCAACGCGGTCCAAGCGCTCTTGTTTAGCCTCCGCAACGACCGCGACGATAGTACACTCGCGCCGCTCTCGCCTGTCGTACAAAGCCACGTGTACCCGATCTGGTGGGCCGATGAACAGCTCTTGTCCGTTGCGATAGCACCGGAAACGCCGGTGCGATAACGTGTTGTGACGCGCTCGCACGGCCGTTTCTCGTAGGATGCCGACGTGGCCGTGAGCGACGCCAACCGCCTGAGCTACGCCAAGGCTCACGCAGCGCGTCTGCTTGTCGTAACCTCCAACGCCTTGTGTACATCACGCGACGCTGTCGATGAAGGTAAGATTAGCCGTGTTCGTGGTCGCATCTCAAACGAGCACAGTGGTGTCGTACGCCCATAGCGGTCGTCCCATCTTGCACGTCCAGCTGGATACGTGGTATCGGGACGCACCAAGTGTCGAAGCGACTTGGCCGCACGTGTCGTACGCGGCGTGGGAGGCCAACCGCCGTTACTTGCTGCAGCACCTTCCGGCGCCTGTCAACTCTGTCTTTTTGAACGCCACCGAGTTTGAGTGCGAATTGTGTGGCGCGATCGACGATGTGCGGCAGCTTCTACGCAGTCCGTGCTACCACTGCTCGTTCTTTTTTCAAAGCACCAAGTCGAATTACGTGGCGTTTGCCCAGGAGGTGGCCGACGCGCTAGAGAGCGCGCGGTGCGTCGCCTCGGTGTCGCCTCTTGTGTGGAAAACGGAGGCGCCGACGTCGACGCTGCCGCAGCTGCGCCGCTTCTACGCCGAGCGCGCCGTGGGCAGCGCCACCGAGCTGTGAGTTGTGCGAAAAAGACAACAGGTCTGAAACTCAGCTAGGCACGCGGCGGCATCCCAAGCCCGCACGGACGCCATAAGCAGCTACTGCAAGCATCTATTCGATCGGTTTGGTGCCGATACGGCGGCGTTCGAGGCCGCGCGAGAGCGCGTCACCGCCACCAGCGTGGCCCGCAACGAGACGTCCGCGGAAGTCTTTGTCGAGTACCACGTTCAGACACATCGTCTCTCAACACAGATCGCTACGATCGAGGCGCGGCTCACGAGTGCGGCCCTCCAGCTAGCAGCCGTTGTCGGCGACCTCGAAAGCCGTGTGTTTCACATGGTAAGCGACGCCACTTCGGATGACGGCGACGCGTTGCAGCGATACCGCCGCGGCATTCCGCACTTGCACCAGCTCATGCCCATGTACCTCGAGCTGAGTCAGAATGTGGTCGACTTGACCATCCAAATGCTGGGCCTTGACGCCGACAAGTATCTGTACACGTCGCTTGCTGCTTTGGACACGGTAAGCGTTGATAAGCGGCGGCAGCTGGGACGAGACGTGTAGGAGATCGAGGCGTCGATGGCCGAGACGGTGACAAATGTGCTTGCCGAGATGGACGCGATGGAAGTCGCGTACGCTGCGTCGATTCCGTTAGAGGCCGAGCGACTCTACGGCCGCTGCAATATTCAGACGTTCGCACTCTCGTCAGCGAGGAGCCCGATGCTCGACTTGGATGCGCTGCAGCGAGCCATGGACGACGTCGTTGGGTGGGAAACCAGCACCCTCCAGAGCCTCCAGAGCCTCTTTCAAGACGCCCATGCGCTGCACGCAGTACTTTTGTCCAACTAGACCACTGGATTATGACTCATCGTGACATACCACGTCTATTTTTAGATGCGAGCGTTTCGCGTCCAAGTCGAGAATGTGACGCGGCGCTTTGCCGACGCCTTTGCCGTGCCGTCGTGGGTCGACATGTTGTCGGCGAGTGATGCACCGGCCATGAGTGTGCTCTTTAACGACGTTGTATGGTGCGAGAAGGACTGCAGCCGACCGGCCGATGCATGGCGAAGTCTGGCAAGTATGCACGAACGCATCCGGATGGAGACGTCGGAGCGGTCGCTTCGACACCGGCACCGACGATGTGTTGCATCCTTTTATCAGGTGCGCCGCCTCTTTGCTTACGTACACGCTATATCGCTCTATGTACAGACATATGTCGCCGCCTGCCACGCGGCATGGCATGCACAGTGCCAACGTCTCGTCGAGCTTGCCGCATCACAGCTTGCTGTCGTCACCCGCGAGGTGGTCGCCGTCACAGCACCTCGCGTCGAAGCTGAGAAGGCCTATCGCGCGGCGCTGGAGAGCGAAGGCTGCTGTCGCCACCAGCTCCGTCGGCTCCAGTACCAAGAAGACGAGAACGCGCATGTTCGACAGCACTTAGCGCTCACGATGCTCCAGCTGCGGCACCTCGCGGCCGTCGAGAGCGATCTCGAGGCATTTGCGCGGCAAGAGAACCTCAAAGAAACCAAACCGATCTGGGACGCCCTGGCCGCGTTCCAGGCCGAGTGCTTTGCCGACGGGTTTGCCAAAGCGACAGTGTGGGACACGGAACGAGTTGCCCTCGCCTCCGATCGCGATCTTTTAACGTCGCAACTGGCCCGCTGTGCGCAGAACGTAGATGTGCGACGGCACGAGTGGGAGGCGGCGACGTGGGCGCATCTGCGCGGGTGCGTCGCCCTCACCAAGGTGCAGCACTGGCTCTACTCGGCGCTCGAAGCCATTGTCGGCCTTGAGCGCAAGCGTCAAAAAGATATCGAGTGTCACGTCGTGCTCTTTGTGAACGGTGTTGTCACGGAGAAGGACGCCAAGGTCGAGTTTGCCGACAGCCATCTCATCCAAGCAACCATGTTGCGGCTCGAAGTGCAAAAGCAAGCCCGACTGCACTGCGTCGCCTCCAACCGCGCCCGGCTCCTCGCCCGGCTCTTACGAAATGAGACCGACTTGCTGCATGTATGAAGTCAATATGTCATCATCCGGCGTCGTGGCATCCTTGCGCTCGTAGATGACACGGGACGAAGCGCTTCGCAAAGACGCGCTGACGAAAACTATGAAGACGCGCTGCGAATTTGTCGATGCGACGCTGGCGCGCGTCCGGTCGAAACGCAGTACACGGCGTCTCGCCGCCTACACGCGTCTCGAGACGTCTTTGACCGGTGCGTCGAGCAAGAGCTGGGTCGAATGTATGGACCAAACAGCGGCATTTGCCACCGACCACTGGCTCGTCCAGCACCGACGCAACACGGTGGAAGCGGCGACGCTGTTGCTCGAGGCCGCCGAGGCCGCGTGCGGCCGAGAAGAAGCCACGTACGAAGCGCTGCGCCAAAAGCAAGCTGACGCGATTGCGGCGCCATATACGACGTCGGCTCCGTACAGTCCGCTGGATACAGTGCATTTGATGCTATACTTGAACGCCAAGGCGTCCATGGGTTGGGCACGCGATGTCAACATGCTGCGGACTGAGCTCCACGAGACAATGCACTTGAAGCGCATGGACCTCAACGAGTGGGCCAAAGTCGACCCGCTCTCGGACGAATTTGCCACGTATCTTTCAATATTTCAAGGTTTCAAGCTTGCAATGTTGATACATGACATGCGTAGGGCACGCGCGCACTACATTGCGGCCGAGAACGACTTGGTGCTGAATCGATTCGAAATCAAATGTGCCGACGCGCAAGCCATTCTCGGACCCTCTCAGTGCCAGCAATATGTCCTTGTAGGCGGAGGCCAATATATCTATATAGCTCGATGGCGCGTAATCTCTGTTGTCTAGAGCTCGATCGAGCACAAGCAAGTCGTATTCCTGCAGCACCACCCCGACCCGGACGGCGTCGACTGCGATGCGATGCAGGCGTCATGGAGTGCGTCGCGTACTCTCTGCGTCGACATGTACAAAGGGATGCAAATCCAGCTGCGAGACGCCGCCTTGGGCTACGACCTTCGCGAACTCACACTCGACTGCCACGAACGACTCCTGGGTGGTGACTTGCCGCCGGG